TTTACTGGCAAGTATCTAATGTACTAAGGAGTAGATAACATAGGCTACTACTACATATAATTTTAAAAAATTCAATCATAAAAGAAGATGTCCTAAAATTCATATCCTATGCGGGCAACATCTAATCAAGTAATAATTTCCAATAGCAGTATACTGGCAACCCTTACTTACTCGTGTGTGGTATAAATCGTAGGTATTTATCGGTAGTTAAAGCCGATCGTTTACCTTTGAACCAGATGGATTGAACTTGAACTAGTCCCAATTATAGGTTCAGATAATCACTGGCAATGCGGTTAAACTATTATAAAAATATAAATCTTAGTTTAAATGCTGGTATGTTAATAAAGTTATGGGCAATTATACATATATTGATGGGTTGAAGAGTGTACGTAACACCTTTATAGGTATTACGACCTTATTTTAGAATATGTCTTTCTGATAGAACCTAGTTAAGTTTGTAGTATATTTACCTCACCAATTGCTGACCAGCAACTTACTCCACCCTGGATACCGAATACAAAACCTCAATTTAAAATTAGAACGGACAAACTACAATCAAAAGACTAACAATTATTCATTATACCAATTCAACAATTAACCCTATCACATTTAAAAGCTAAAACGAACAACAAAAGAACTAAGAATCAGTCTCATTGATCATTATTCGCACAAATTGCACCAGCCAATTAACCACTTGCAACACAATGGAGACAAAGGGAACGTCACTACAACAACAATACAGATTTAAAACAACAAAAGAACTGGAAAATAAATCGTGCGCAAGCGACTGGTTTACTCCAATTAAGCCCGTCTCTCATTTAGTATCGATTTGGGCCCGTGATCTCATTCCGATCCAGAAACCGAGTGATTTATCGTCAGATTAGGCCGTGTCGATGCGCTGACGCAACTGCCCACCCATCCGTGACCGTCGAACACTCCTTCATGACTTGTACCTAATGTGTCCTATTTTTACACATGGCAATGTGAACTGAAAAATGCCATTGATGACGCCATGCGACTGTTTACTTAAGATTCGTAAACATTATTCTGTCAAGACGCCATTATTGTCAAGGATTTAAGGATTTTCGTTGATAGTCTACATGCGGGTGACATTTTTAGTATGATTTAATGAACTCTCGTATTTGTCTTGCCGAGAACCTTTGTGGGCTATGTTTCATTCCTGTGTTTGGGCTTTAAAGTAGGAGAATATCTTATACTGCTTCATCATCTTATCCTCAAGTACTTCGAAGTGTAGATGTCGCATCCCTGTTTGAGAAGAATATTATTGTCATATTTATTTTTTGACTACTTTGACCAGCTACACTATTCCGTGACTAATAAAAACTAAATTCGCTGTTATCAATCACCACCTACTCCAATAGCGAAAGAAACATATACAAAATATTCGCAATCAATATAAATTAGCCTACAAACGAATGTACAATTACATTAAATATCGGTAACCATTAATATGCAGCTGAGTGATAAAATAGTTCGTTCACGGTATTCCGGAAACGTCCACAATATGTAATGGATCGCCTAAGTAAACGTTCGTTCATCGACATTCGATTGCATCGAAGACGCAACGAGCTGGGTCATCCATTCACTATTCTGTGTACAACAGAGTAAATTATATAGTGAAGATGTACTGCTTTTTGTAAACTTTGTATATTTGAAGTTATCTATTCAGAGTTATGAAGACAATATCAGCCAAGCATATATTTTTTGTGTCTGCCTTCTTTATTAATCAGCTGAAAACATATTTTGTTCTGTTTATATACGATTTATCTCCTCATCTAATTACATTTATCAATGGCTAGCTACTTCCGCGCGGTTTAACTCGCTCTGCTCGGTGCCTATTAATCGTAGCATGATATTTTATAGCCTATGGCCTTCCTTGATAAATGGGCTATCCAACACAGAAAGAATTTTTCAAATCGGACCAGTGGTTTCGGAGATTAGCGCGTTCAAACAAACCAACAAAAAAACAAACTCTTCAGCTTTATAATATTAGTATAGATTAAAAATGCTACTAATACTTAATTAAATGTAAATAACCTACCTACTTTCAATGACACTATGTACCACATACAATTTACATTAGGTACAGCAGGAAAATTAGGGTTATATGAAAGAAAAAACCGTTTATTACGCTACGACACGATAGACTAGGAAAAAATACATGAAGAAGTAGTAGTAGAAGTCAGTATATTGGTGCATCGTAATGCAAAATACCGGTGCTCAGCTTAATGCTGTGACCCCGGCACGAAGACTCGATTCCACATTTTCAGCATCTTCTTCCAAATTCACAGAAACGCAAATTAATTCACCTTCCCGATTCACCTAACATAATTATTGCAATAAAACAAAAGAAAACCAACAACTTGAGAACAAAATGTATCAAAGACTTCCAACTTCGAACATACATCAAGCAACTTCCCATCTTAAGTTAAATCAAGCTAAGCCAATCTACTGTCTCAACGGATGTTCGCAAACTCATAGTCGTAAAGGACTCTTAGACTATAAATTTTAATAGACAAGTCTTCCCTTTATGCACTGGATTACGTATATTTTACTGCAAGTAAAATGTGCCTATCTAATCTGTATCGGATCTCTGATACCTACAGTACGGAAGTCGCTAGACGATGAATATATTCAAATGCATAGAGGGACTAATTCAATGATACAATTTTTTTTTTAAGGGGGGAAAATCATCGAATGACTGCTCCCGCCTGGGTGAGGCGGGAGGGAGTGTCAGACTCTTACTGACTAAAAACCACCCAGTTCCTTCTCCTGCACGTCGAGCCGGAGCCCCGGTTACCCGTTAGGTTCTCCGCGACTTAATGGTACAATAGGATGTAAACACCAGTAATTTTTCTGTGTTTATATTAATAAATGAATATGTAATAAAAAAAATTATGGGATAAGCCGGTAAACGATTAGTTCGATCACCTGATGGTAAGTAATAGGTGTTGCCTTTGGACACCGGGAATTTAAGCGACATTACAAGTCCGTTACCGGCCTTTTGGGATTAGGAATTTGAGGATTGTTGGGGATCCAGGGATTGTGAAGGGGAGGGGGGGGGGGTAATTGGGCCAAATAATAGTAATTTGTAGAAATAATCGCTTTTATAAGACAAAGCTGTTGAAGTTCGAAACAAAATACATAGTAAACAGATCAAGATTAACAATAATACTAACTATAAAACCCAAGATTAAAAATGATCTTTACATTAGAAAACACTACTGGAAATCCCAATGAAAATAACATCCCAACCAATATAAGCCACACATTGTATTAGCAAAACTAATTCCTATAATGGCGCACTAAGCTATGAATGAATGGCTTATTTTAATAAAGTATTAGCAACCGATATTATCGCTCACTTAGTATTCAGTGGCGCTCTCTATCGGCGACATAAAGTACTAGCGCTGTTTGTGATGGAAATTATAATTATCATTTGACACTTCCATGGGATATTAAGAGCCCTTTGTATTGATATTATTATATTTGTAATGTATGTATTGTTTTATTGCTTTGGTAAGGCGCCGTTCTTAGAACTTGAGTGCCAAATACTTGAAGCCCTTGTGGGCCGATATTTATATAGGTGACCCACAGACATTCGAGGAATATCGATATTACGGATCACTGCATACATTTATATCTGTCCATTAAAAATAGCTTTAAATACATTTAATACCGACTTCAAAATAATGTACACAATATACGTGCAATTGATTAATGAACTCCTAAACACATGAAATGAAAGTCAATCGGATCAATAACATAACATCACGCATTTTTTCCTCAAAGGGGTAGGCAGAGGTGCACATTATGCCACTGTACAATGTAACACCTACTTTTCACTATTTATGTTATGAGTCCCATGTAATAGGAGGTGAACTTATTGCCATATAGTGGGCATAATAAACCCAGTAATACTTTGCCCGACCCGGGAATCGAACCCGAGACCCCTAGCCCGGCAGTCGCACTAGCAACCACTCGGCCAACGACGCATTCATATTTCGGATCGGATCAATAATTTTGTTTTATCCAATATTTTAAACGTGCCAAAGCCTTCTTGCATATCCACTAACAAACGGTCAAACCATGTATAAAATCAAACGAAGTTAAAACGATCCATTTTAATCCTGAAGCAGTTGCATCCAATTTAAATGCTACAAGAATACAGCGTTCGGAATATAGGGTACAAAATAGTAAATAGTTAACGTGCGGAATGCCTGAGAACGACCACCTATCACGTTGGACATTAAATAGTGACCCAATGATACTGCCAAGTTCTTTGTACTTTCTCTGGTTGAATCATGAGAGAACTAAAAATTAGTCTACTAAATACATTATTTATGACAAAGCTTCTTTGTAAGATTAATAGAACTGAGAGAGTAGGTATACCCAAAAACATGAACCATCTCGAAATTATGTAAATAGCCCCAAAATTTCTTGTTTACCCCACAAAATTAAAAAAATACTTCTTCAAATGGTACGATTAACCATCGTACAAGTCTTACGAAATCACACTACAGGTATTACTCAAATCTACCTACACTAAACTTTAAATTGTAAATAATATACTGTATCAATTGGAAGGAACTAACATCTAAGGTACAGGCTCGGCCTAGTTTAGATGTTAGTATTCATAAACTGTGTGTCTAATGTTTTTGTTTTGTTGCAATAAACACTTTTTTATTATTTATTTATTTACTGTAATCGTAACTACAACCAAGAATAAATTGATTGGTCATCGCAGTATCGAATTGATATAATTCCCTAGTCTTACGACTCTCTCAAGTAAGGCCTATACTTAGCCAAGACAGCACAAAACCAACGTTTTCTACATAAAATACTAAGCCGACTACAAAGAAACATAATATTACAGAAAGGCGCAACAAACCTTTAAACTAAAGATCCAAAGACAGCAATAAAACCTGATTGTTGTTGTCAAAGCTCTCCGAAGTGAAAGCATTTCTTTGTTCAACGAGATGAGTCGACAATCACAAACGCTGAATTATTTCCACAAGGAATATTTTCGTCACCCTGTAAATTCGTACAAAGCATTCCCAAAGCTGAATAAATGTAATAAATCATGTGAGTAATCGTACCCAGGGTGTTTACAAGTCATAAGATGTTGAGTAGTACTGTTATTGTTGCAGGTTCCTCGCTTGTTCGCGAGACCCACTCATATACGCACAAACGACGAGCACGGAGGTTGGACGACCGGTGAGTAACTGACGTCATCAATTATTACCCTTTGATGTTGATTTACACTGATCTCAGAGAAAGCTTTCTTTATACAAATTGCCTGTTCCAGTGTATTGCAACATCGATAGCCTTTGCCTTAATCATTTGTTTCTGTATGATTCTCGTCCGACGGAAGAACATTGAGTGTAGCAGTGTGCTATACGGCTGCATGTTCATGTGTGGCTTTAAATTATTCAGCTGTATTCAAACATACGTGACTGAAATTCGTTTCACCACTGCCCACTATACATAACAATTCAAACAATGTAGCCTATAATACTGAACATCTGGGCCAATTTAGGCACAATTTCGACAATGATATAACCAAGTGGAACATTTCGTACAACGTCAATGAACTATCAATCAATCCACCATTCATTTAATAGAAATGGGTATTCGTATCAGCTGAATCAATGTTTCCTTGACTGCTATTGTGGTTTCAAAATTTGTTCCGTGAACATTCTAGAACAATTGTCATAATTTACATGTATTTATGAGAGTGCTGTACTTAATGATATTATTTCAGATGTATCTATTGAGATACGAGTTGCCTTGACATAGTAATACCACTAATAAAGATTTCAAAGGGAAGCGTTCTGAAAATTATGTTCGTATACGAGAATCTATATTTTAGATCAAAGAATTACATCAAATTATATCGAATTTTTCTCAATGATTGATAATGATCTATCTATCTGTATACATTTGATATTTTGAAATGATTTAGTTGTTTTGAAGAATTCATACAAAATTTTGATCCAAGGTAAAAAGTATTGGATGAAATAACTTCCAGGAATCGTATCTTGGACAAGGAGAATTTCGGAATTGATCAGTAATATCATTAATTTTGGCCGTTACCTAAAGTACTTCATGTTATCAACATGTTAAATCGCCATCTTCCAGGTGCAAAGAACGACAGAAGCGATTCGAACGAACACGACTATGTACGCATGGAGTTCGTGGGGAACCTGGACTCCTTGCTCGAAGACCTGCGGAGGTGGTGTGGCTGTACAGGAACGGCACTGTCTGCCCAGGGATCCTGCTAGGTAAGAACTTTTTAGTAGCTATCCTAATTATGCCTTTGATAGCCAATAGAAAGATGAATCCTCCCCCCCCCCAACGTTGGTCACTTCACTGGTAACCCTCATAGCGTTAAACGTGTTAAGCAGATACGCCTTTTTTACAATTCCACTGGATCAAGCTTTAAACGCATTTTTGAACTTCTATATATTCATAGTAGTTATTCTTAGATCAAAACCATGTGTATTATTTTGTTGAAAAAGTCCAAAACCAATAGAACAGGATTCCGAAAAAAGGTCACTAACAGCTAGCTTCCACATATCCTATAATACAAAGAACATCTGGACATCCACATACCTGATACAATCAAATTAAGAACACATTATTAAAAAAAAACTTTTAAAAAACAATACTGTCCCATTACAAGCTATTAACAATCGTAAAAAAAAAAACAAAAAACGAATTCGAATGCGACGATAAAACGCTAATAAATACGTTATTCCATTATTCTAATTTCAAAAAGGTATTAAAAGTCGGATCCGTGTCGGATAATATAAAACAAACAGGGGAACGCGTGAAGAAGATTAATGTGTTAAAGTTTTTTGTATTGTTCGTGATGTTTTGTCTTAATTGTTTCATTATGCGGCCGTTGAAGATAAGCTTGTCATAGCTAAGGATGAGGATACTAATTCTTTTTGTAACATGCTGTATAGTTGGAGTAGGTCAGGGTTATCAACTTTACTTATTTTATTTTTAAAGATTTTTTTTTCTTATTCCCGATTCATTCCACGATTAGAGAAAGAAAAATTTTGGTGTTAATGTTAATGCCGTAATTCAAAAACTTCGGTAATGATGTTTAAGTACCTAAATGTCTTTTTGTAAAAGTATGTAATATGTAATAGAACTATTTTTGTATCTATAATAAAAAAAAACATTACGTATAAATTAGAGATTACCTATGCTCAAAAATTCTTAAAAATATTCTAGTCCTCATTCAACAAAAAGAATAAACCAAAATCATCGGGTCAGCCCTATCGTGTCGCGGGCGCATTGATCATAGATCACAATGATATCTAATGATAGGGCGCGTGATCGATAAAGGAGCGAGAGCTGGCCACCGCGGGAGAGCCTCTGCGCCTGCGCAGACCGACCACTTACTGTCGAGTACTCGGGAAACTCGATTGAGTCATATTTTATCGTAGATAGAATAATAAAATGAAATAATATATTTTCTTTTTGCTAATCGATTTGTCAGTATCGAATGGTTGTAATCTATTTTGTAGATAGATGTAGTTTATGGTGATCTGGAATGTTAATAAGGGTTATTATATGGTTTTAAATGTCTAGTAAAAGGTTTTGGTGTAACTTTGATTTTAGATAGGGTTGGAAAAAAGTCAAAAGTTTATTTAGAACCATTTTATAACCTATAAACAGATACGACTTTTTTTATTGAGATAAGTACCGCCATAATCTCCCAAAACCGCTGCAAGTCCTGTAAACCAGGATCACAATCATAAAAACACTACTAACTGTCTTGAACCCTGCAAGAAAATAAATCAGAAGATGTTTTAAGAGGAGAGGAAACAGACAATAGTTTCTACTTTCCTCGGTAAATAAACACAGGAGACAGAATGACAGGATGCGAAAATTACTAAACTTAAACCAATACAATTAATCTCCCTAATTCAATTATATCTACCATCAAGTTTCTCTCTACACTTCCTTACTTGTTACCCTGTCTATCCATCAATCCTCGTTCATTTTAGCTATTAGCCCTGTCTCGTCATATCATAGCTAAGTCATCATCCCTCGAGCTTAAGGCTTAGGGTACACTGAGTTACAAAACCGAGCGGTTAACAGCCCTTACTGTTTAACACGCAATATTTTCAATCTTAAGTCTTATCACTAAGCTCTATATATAATTATTTCTGTGACTTATTTTCTTATACCAATTTTGTAACAACTCACAATTTTAAAATCAGTCGCAAGGATAATCGCACATGAAAACGCTTGTTTTGTTTTCTTGTTTCACACACTTATGCGGTTCAAAACCGCTGCGGTTTATACGTAGTATAGCCTAAGCCTAGTCGCGGAGAACCTAACGGGTAACCGGGGCTCCGGCTCGACGTGCAGGAGAAGGAACGGGGTGGTTTTTAGTCAGTAAGAGTCTGACACTCCCTTCCGCCTCACCCAGGCGGGAGCAGTCATTCGATGATTTTCCCCCGTTAAAAAAAAAAAAAAAAAGTATAGCCTAAGCCTAATAGAGGATCGAAATGCTGAGACAAACGATGGCTGTGACTAATGGCCTATCACGTCTCGCAAAACATTTCCCGCTCATCGAAGGATTTTAACTAAACGATAATGAAATATTGTTCAATACGTTCCTTTACCTTGATATTGTGGCTTTTGTTTTGATGTTAATGATTTTGAACTTAGTTCAGCAGTAGACGACCTGTGACTGATAAGGTTGGACCTGTTAGACAAGACGGATTAATGGGTAATATTGCAGTGTCTAAGTAAGAATTGGTGCTATTGGTCACCTACTTCTTAATCTAGTCTAATTTAAATAGTCGCGGAGAACCTAACGGGTTACCGGGGCTCCGGCTCGACGTGCAGAAGAAGGAATGGTGCGGTTTTTAGTCAGTAAGAGTCTGGCACTCCCTCCTGCCTAACCCAGGCGGGAGCAATCACTTGATGATTTAAAAAAAATCTAATTTAAACTTAAGTTAACAACCATAAAAGTAAAAAGTACCTACAAGAAATGAACTTTTTGTAAATCCAGCTCGATCGAATTCATATCAATCGACTACATGACGCGACGCACCAAAAATAAAACTAAGACACACATACCAAACTTCACTCGAAAATGACCCAAAGCTCTGATCGTATTAACCTGGGACTAATGCCTCGTACACACGATCCGAATCGACACTATCAAAATGAGATGTGATAGTTATGACTATCGATTGGACACGTGAATTTCGTCCGCCCATCACAACAATCGCTGAACGGATTATCAACACTTTCACATTTGTATCTGACCAACAGTTCCGCCGTATTATGTGTTCGGACCTTAATACTTCTTTACAATAAAGCAAACATATGCCGTGGTAATATAACAGGTGTAAATAATTGTTTGAAGAGTGATATCAGTTTGCCTCGTTGGCCGAGTGGTCGCAAGTGTGACTACCCGGGTCGGGCAAAGTATTCATCAACAGCCTATAACTGCCCACTGCTGAGCAAAGGCCTCTTCTCACACGGAGAAGGTTTGAGCATTAATCACCACGCTTGCTCAATGCGGGTTGGAAAGTATTACTGGGTTTTTTTTATAAATTCTCAGTAGTAACACGGAGTCTGGAATTGTGCCCGATATAAGGCAATAGGCTCACTCCCTATTACATGTGACTCATAAATAGTGAAAAGTGGGTGTTACATTGTACAGTGGCATTAAGACCCGTAATATGCACCTCTGCCTATTCCTTCGGGTATAAAAGGCGTGATGTTATGTTATGTTATGTGATATCAGTTTGGTCGAGAATGGCAACAGACTCTTCGTTCTTGTGGGTATTTTAAATGCCAATAGGAGTTGCTAACCTCTTTGAGGCGAGTCGAGATTGGTAGAGCTACCACGTGTCTAGCAATCAGTGCCTACATATTTCAATAGGAAAATTCATCTTATGAGATTCTTCTCGGTATTTTGTGTCTATTTTCCAAGTCAAGTCAAAATCATTTACTCCAATTAGACCAGGAAAGCACTTTTGAACGTTAACAAAAATAAACTGAAGGTGAAGCTATTTTCTCAATCCAAGGTGTAAATACCTATGAAGAAGAACGAGCAAGAAACCCCATACGTTAGGTATTTTTTTACTATTATTTGTATATGTATCAAAGTAGGTACCTAAGCAGTTACTAAGTAGCATATTTTCATATCACATTTTAGTTTGTTGACTTTAGCATGCATACATACAATACTCAGTACTCCAAGAAAATATGTCAGAATCACAAAACATTACAAGCTATGAAGCACCAATAACTTGACTGTACAAAGTCAAAGGCTAACCAAAAGTTCGTGGGACTTTCACCCTTATTGCATAGTACACGGCAAATTAAGGCAATATAAAATTGGATGAGACATGCGAACATCCAGTAACAAGCTTTTACCGTTTTCGTACATGCATTTTGATTGACGAACAAAATGCTCTTTTAGAGGAACACGGTTGTAATCGTTATTGTTTTACAAGCATTTTGTTTTGTTATGAAATGTGTGTGTGGGAAAATGTTTCTTGACCTTTAGGAATTAGGGCAGCAAATTGTAAAATGTATTCTAGTTAGCATAGCATTTAAGTCCATTACGGCTCTACGGTAAAGACTATACTCATAGATCTACATTTAAACCTATATTTTTTATTGTCTAGTACAGTTATTTTTACCATTACCATTATCATTAAATATTATTTACTAGCGACCCTTCCCCTTCGCACGGATGCAATATGCACGTATTATACATATAAACCTTTCTTAAGAACCACTCAATCTATTAAAACAAACCGCATCAAAATCCGTTGCATAGTTTTAACTCGTCGAGTACCGTATTTATAGACACAATTAAAGAACAATAGGTAGCGGTCACCGGTGACCGCTTGGTGTTTGACAGTTTAAAGATCTAAGCATACATAAGGACAGACAGACGGCGGATGACGACTTTGTTTTATACTATTAAGTGATTAGTGATACTAATTACAAAACAGATATTCCACTTCAAAATAGAAATGACATTTCTAAAACCCATTCATTTCTCAAGAATGAAATTGGACTTCCAAAAACCTGACCGTCCACTAACATTCTCCAAACAAACACTACTTACTTCAAACTTTACAAGCCCCTCTATATTAAAATTCCCGCCACATATGTATATCAAAATCTATCAAAACATTTATATTTATACGTATTTAATCAGCTAAATGTTCATTTTAACTAGATACCCATCAACATATTACTTTCCAATTTGTTTTTACGACTATTTTACGAGCACAGCCGACATTAGTCGAACCTTTCCGATGACTTACAACTGTTACGCGGGCGCACGGGGTCACTAAAATTCTCATCAAAGTATTGATATTATGTCGAGATAAGTAAATATTTGAATATTATTTGTCTGTCGTGTTTAAATTGGACGTTATGTGAACTTTTCGTCTTTATTAATTGTTTTTGTTTTTTAAATAAACGTTGCCCCACATTAAGATTTTCTCCTGTGTCGTGGGTGCGTTTACACACATACAAGTTCACATACACAATGACACCCAGACCCGAAACAACCATTTGTGAATCACACAAAGTGTTGTTCCGTGCGGAATCGAACCCGCGACACGTTGCACGGCAGCCGGTTGCCCAGCCGTGCCAACCGTGCAGTCAAAAATAATAACGACGAAAAGATAAACTAATTAGTTTAACTTATACACTGACGATATTTATATCGCCAGGCAAGCTATTAAGCGAGAGTGGAGACACCTTCTATTCCTAATTCTTTCAGTAAGCCAGCCAACATAATCAACCAGAAATCATGCGCTGAGCAGCAGAGTCTGAAAAGACACAGCTCAAGGCTAATCTAGTAGCTTACGAAATCAATTCCCAAAATTAATTTCCTCTCCCGATCCAACTATGAACTTCAAAAGTCAAAGCCGAAATTCTTTCAAAGATAGACAACAATCGATAAACAATATACATTCCTAGATATCACTCGACATGACAAACAAATGACTGGCGCGGCGCGAACAACTAATTAAAACATATCATCTTATAGAACGAAGTATCAATATCTGTGAACCAATTACATGTAGGCGTATTAAAGGCGAGGTATAGTTTCATAATTTTAATTACGAAACAAAGGTCGTGTGTGGCGCCCCGTCGCGGCAGAACTCTGTACTAATGATGGGCTGAAACAATGAGGTTTTATTACGTGTATGCGGTATGTAGCGGGCCTACTATGTTTTATGTACTGGCATTATGAATGTAAGAACAATAGTGAAGACAAATTAACAGATTGTTGTGATTCATCCCACGTCTGTGTCTATAAAATTTTCATTAAGCCTACTTCTTCAGGAGTAAGGATAAGCTTTGTTGCAATATGAATGTTGATCATCAGATTTCGATTGCAAATAATTGAGGTACATTGAAGTTCGTTATCTTTTATGTAAGACAAACATATCTTTCAATGTTTTATATGTATTTCTAACTGGTAAATTCAAAGTTAAGGGCGAGGCACATGAAAGTTCGCTATCTTTTATGTAAGACAAACATATCTTTCAATGCTTTATACGTATTTCTAAGTTGTAAGTAAATTCAAAGTTAAAAAAGGGCTAAACACAACTAGTTATAGTTTTGTTGGATAGTTTACCAAAATAGAGTTCAACTAAATAGTTGTAGTAACTATAAAAAGCACTACTAGTACATTCGTCTCAAAATAAACTTAAAATCTTTATCAACAAATTATTGACGAAATTCCTTAACCTACTCAAAAGTCGCGGAGAACCTAACGGGTAACCGGGGCTCCGGCTCGACGTGCAGGAGAAGGAACGGGGTGGTTTTTAGTCAGTAAGAGTCTGACACTCCCTTCCGCCTCGCCCAGGCGGGAGCAGTCATTCGATGATTTTCCCCCCTTAAAAAAAAAAAAAAAAACCTACTCAAAAACAATATCTATTACTTACTAAAGAAAAGAAAGAAAACAAGTTTATATTTAAATAAATATCATACGTCGCCGTCTACAGCATATTTAAGGATCACGTACGTCAATATGTAAAAACATGCATATTTTAAATATTTCTTGCAAAAAAACTTCAAACAGATGTATGGAGCAAACACTTGACGATGTTTAATTTTCTTAGGTGTTTAACATTCGTAAATAGATACGGTATATGTAAACTAGAAATTTTGGAGTAAATAATAAAAATAGATCTTATTGTGTATGATGATAAGTGCCTATTTAGTTATTTAATTTGTCAATGATACTTCTATTACATATACTATTCAGATGACAATTATGAGGCAATAGCGAATACTCATAACATAAGTGTGGTGAAATGTGGGTGATTTAACATCAATTCTGATTAACCCTTAAAGAAATAAAAGTTAAATGTGGGAGAGCCACGCTTCGGTACGAATAGGCCGGCTCGACCGGAGTGATACCTCACAGAAAACCGATTTGAAAAAAATGTATATTCAATATTTAAAGTTTAAAATCCAGTCCTGTGTTTTTTCGGAGTCGCGGCGAACCTAACGGGTTACCGGGGCTCCGACTCGACGCGCAGGGAAAGGAACGGGGTGGTTATTAGTCAGTAAGAGTCTGACATTCCCTCCCGCCTCACCCTAGTTTTGAACGAGTTTGTATACAGAGTACTTTTCAATTCAAGTGGCAGTCTATTAAATAGTGGTACTAAGTTCTACCATGACGTACAGACGTACGGAATTTAGGATATCTCAGTACTGACAGTCTCTGTAACATTTTACATACTAATGTTGTTCTTAGCTAGTACTAATTAATATGTATCGACATTTGAACGGTGTGGGCTGTCCAACCGCGGAGAACCTAACGGGTTACCGGGGCTCCGGCTCGAAGTACGAACGGGGTGGTTTTTAGTCAGTCAGAGTCTGACACTCCTACCCACCCCGGTAGAAGTCAATCGATGAATTTCCCCCCTTAAAAATAATCCATCTAATATTCTTGAGGAAAGGATCCTGACAACATTTTAATGTAGATTGAAAATTGTAGATCTTGTCAAGTCAGTATCACGAATGCATAGATTGATAGACAATATTCTATTCAAACGATACAAAGTAAATGATAAATACTTTGATGTTGTCTCTTTCGAAAATCACGTCTATGCGAATATCAAACTGGGATCTTGACCAGTTGAAGCAGACAATGAAGATATATATTTCGGACGAAGCCGACAACTGTCTTCTTTGAATAATGATAATATTAAAGAACAATATGATAATGACCATACAACCACTACTGATACACCATTACCAAAAACAAAAGAAAATTCTAACTAAACTGTTCAAATTCCAGAATGCGGCGTAGTAGAAAAAGAAGGAAACTTGTAAGGAGTATAGACCACACGAGGCGAGCACGCAACGTGATCCATGGACCGAGCTCATCGGGACCTGACTGCCCTGGACTAGCAAGGCGATACCACGAGTGTAATACTGCAGTAAGTACAATAACCAGCATCTTCATTATCACCAGCATTAAATCTATTATAAGAATAAATAATCCAAGGAAGCTTTTGCGGAAAGAATTAAAGTAAATAAAATCATTTTTCTACGAAGGATCCTCTATAGAATTAGCGTGCGTCGATAAAACAAAATTGAGTAAAACAAAACAATCAGGCTATAAATCTCGTCGGCCTATGCTACCATTGAAAGTAGATTAGGTTGCAAAAAACCCCAAATTAAATTCAGGATTCCTTTCTTGGAAGTCCAGTCCATAGGAGATGTTTTGTGTACCATACGTGCTACTACTTGTAGGTAGGTCAATACATCAAAAACTAAATTAAAATATCGATAAGCTACTGCGCGCGCGATGCTATTGTCTTCGTTATCAGCATGAGTTTCAAAGATACAATGCTGTTATATCTTTTGATTGTTGATAGCTAACAGATGCAGATCAACCTGCCCCGATCGTTATATTCTATCAATATAATTTAGACTTTATTAAAAAAGAACTAAGTAGGAAATGTAAAAAAGTAGATTGACCTGCCTTGGTTTGTATAAGCGAAAGGGCCATGACGCTACACAATGCTAACTAAATACAAATCATTGTTGAGTCGGCAATCTCTCTATGAGGTCAATGACCAGTTTAATATCAGTAGTTATTGGTCATGCGCAGAATTGTATGCCAAGGTTCGTTATCACCTTGATTAAAGCTTTAAGTAGTTGTAGTTGGATTTTCTTTGGTAGATTTTCTTTTTATTTTTACAAATGCTGCATGACTGCACGGTTGGTGCGGTGGCTGGGCAACCGGCTGCCGTGCAACGTCGCCGTGTCGCGGGTTCGATTCCCGCACGGGACAACACTTTGTGTGATCCACAAATTGTTGTATCGGGTCTGGGTGTCATTGTGTATGTGAACTTGTATGTTTGTAAACGCACCCACGACACAGTAGAAAATCCTAGTGTGGGGCAACGTTTAAAAAAGAAAAAAAAAACAAATTCATTTTCCTCACTCCATCTATTGTTGTTGATTGTTTGTTATCTATGCTAATGCAAAGCATTGACGTTTTAAATGATAATACATCTATTTACTTTTGTTTCCAGCCGTGTCCCGGTCCGGTGCGAGATCCGCGCGTAGAACAGTGTGCCATGTACGACCGCAGACCTTTTCGCGGTCGGTTCTACACCTGGGTGCCTTATGTTGATGGTAAGCTCCTGCTCTCAGTAATTATCAGTTAGTTAGTTTCTTAAAGTGAATGAATTTAGATTGTGATTATATCGATTCGATTTTAAGAAGGGTGATAGAATGTAAAGAAACCATTAATTTTCGAGAAAGGTAGGTTTGCTACGGTACTTAATAATTTACTTAATCCTTCTTAATCCCACGAGTGACTTTTGCACAGCAAAAAAGAGCAAAAATACAGAAACAACTTCCACATATTAGTGTAATGTTGCTCGATTGGGAAATAAATAGTACGTCTATGTAGTTTCTAATCAATATAGTATGAACAAAGATAAGCAGCATGTTTTACGAAATAAGAAAAAAAATACCACCAATAATAATTTTTAAAGCTAACTACGTTTTAAAACTTGACTGTCTTTAACTAAATTTTAAAAGTCTATTTCAACCCGCTCCGTTCTTGAAGTTAGTTATTTTATAATTATACTAAAACCTACTCCTAAGTTTAACAAACACTTTTCTGAAAACCGCATGTAACAGATTAGGGATGTTTCCACAACAAATTCAAAAACTGAGAAAATTGGTGGGAACGCGGGTCGTTTTCGAACACGCTCACTCACTCAACGTTTCGGCAGCGACTGTTGGCGCGAGCGCGGGGGCCCGCTCGAGTCGAGCGAGGCGTGGGCGGTACTTCGAATTTTGAATTTTAGCGCGAACGCGAATTCACAACATTACCACCATTTTTCTTATCGCGCTACAAAGGAGGTTTTTAACATAAGAGTTGACTGAACCGCATGAAAATCGGTCTAGCCAATCGTGAGATAATCGCGTACAAATATACATACATACATACACGTCAATCGGAGAACCTCCTTTCTTGAAGTCGATTTAAAAAAAAATCCCCAAACCCTTCTTATGAGAAAGTGTGTGTTATTTCCAGGTGACTCTCCATGCACCCTCAACTGTCGGCCGCGGGGACAGCAGTTCTATGCATCGCTGGCGCTGGTGGTGGACGGCACGCCGTGCACTAAGCCAGGGTTCCGAGCCATCTGCGTGCAAGGAGATTGTAAGGTAAGTTGTCGATGTACGATGAAGGTGCGGTATTTATTTTTAAGGGGGTCGATTTTGAGGATTATTTATATGCAATTATGCAAAGGTTTTTTTTTGAGCCGAAACTACAATAATAGCTTATTTATGAATTACTAAAATATTTCGTTGTATTTAAAATTTCTTTTATTCCACTCTTGTGCCAATCAAATCGGACGATACTTGAAGAAAAGTTTTTTCATTCATTATTACATCAACATGCAAACTACAACGCCATCTAGTGGCCAGTAGTATTTGCCATTTATCTTTGCTAGTTTAGTGACGAACGGTCTAACGGTACTTGACGGTGAAGTTTGTACGTTTGTTATTTTACTACTAGACACGCCATCTATTGCGGAATAGGGAAACCAAAAAAATCTGCACTATTCGTTTTTTTGTAAATATTTTTTAGCAATTTGTATTAAAAGGTTCTAATAGAAATATTAACACAAGTTTGCTTTAAATGGTATTTCTTAAATAGGTAATGGTAATTTTTAAATAAATAAAATTTCGATTCTAAATAAGATTTTTTTAAGTCATTGAGTTAATAAATCAATGTTTTAAATACTTACGAATACATATTGTATACAATTATCATAAAACAATACAATTTTATGCAGAACAGTTGTTATTCGACCCATAAATCAAAATCATAATTGTACAATTATTCAGGAACTCTTCAGCAGTTACTTTCAATTTAGATCTCAAACTATGAAATGCAAATAATAAATTATTACAAAAAAAGAGCATAAAAAACCTACGAGAAAAAACCAAAGTTCAACTTCACGTAATGTACCTAGCTACCCTGACACCATCTGTAACAAATACTCAACTTTAAAGCTTTAAAATAAAGCCTAGAATCGCTAGAATTAGCACTTACACACACTTTATGTAAACAAACACCGATTACTTGCATTACTAGTAAGTTGTGTACTAACAATCAGTATGCATGTTGGAATGTCCCACGGGGCGCGTTCGTGTACCAACTACCGAGGTCCAACTTCCTACCCCGGGCCGGTAATAAGCCCGCCAGCATCGGCATTTATTTTACATTGTAGACACATGCAATACTCAGACTGTGTGATAATTTATTTAATATACAATTCATTTATTGTTTCTGGAATGTACGTATTTATAAGTAAGATTTAAACTTTATTTTGGTTATTTTCAATATAGAACTGGAACTCATCGTGTGTCCTGATTACGAAAGCAAGCTCCCTTTATTATGGTATAAGCCGGTAAACGAGTTGACGGATCACCTGATGGTAAGCAATCGGGACCGCCTATGGACACCCGGAATACCGGTTACCGGCCTTTTGGGGATTAGGATATTTGAGGATTGTTAGGAATTCAGAGATTGGGGAGATTGAGGAGGCTAATTGGGTTTCCCTTAACCTCACTCATACGACGAAAATTGTCATCAGCATGCCGTTCACCGTCAAACAAGGCTCCCCACTTAAAATAAGGTTTAATTCCACGCTTAGATCACAAAAGCTAGGTGGTCTAGGTGGCTAATTAGAGTTCTGCGACACCCCACCCAAAAATATCATAAACTAATGTAAATCATGTATTCATAAATCCAAGTTGAAGTCATTAAAAGATTTTGCATTACAATCCACAACTTGACTTTTAATTAATTCTTACCAAAGGTACACACAAACTTGATCAGGTACAAATCATGAACTCACAGTGCGAGACTTAATAAACGAAGGAGTTAATACAAAGATTTGTAAAACGTAAAACTTGTAATTAAATGCCTTTGGCTTGGCTGAAACAATGGCTAATTAGTGCTCTATTAACGAGCAGTCCACGCAACCAGGTGGAAGGTGGGAGCTTAAATAATTGTGCTACATTAAACAAAGGAGGGCTATAAATATTGTCGTGAATGTAGTGAAATTGAAGATGTGTATCATATCGTAGTACGATGTGTCAAGAATGAGCCTGAAAGTGTCGCACTGAACATTGAACACAATATTATCAATCTTAATGAGTATCATCTTTAGTAACCCATCATCAAAGATGGCTTAAATACTGTATAGATTAGTTAACTTATGTCGGAATACTCAAACGCTACTCAATTTTAAGTCGTGCTTAAATATAGTTCTGTCTCCACAAATTCTTTGTTAAATGACAGAGATGGCACGATATTTAAGCACGACTTAAAATTGAGTAACGTTTCAGTATTCCGGCATTAGCAATTAAGCGTAGATTATAAGTTAGTAAGTTCATCCTCATGAGGGTGATATTGTCATTTTTGATAAAACCCTTCATAATTAAAATAAAGAAAAGTATATCAAGGGGTATGATGAGAGATTACTTCATACAAATTATTTTTCCTTTCCCTTTGATTTAGTCGAAAGGATAATTAAGGAAGTTTCGTAAACTCGATATGTCAAACGAAATTTAGGTGCGCATTAATTTGAGTAAGCAATAAGCTTTGGATCTGAATGAACGTAAAATTAGTTATACGGTCATGGTTGACACACCGAATGTAATTTCAAAATCCTGATCTAGAGACTCGTCACGAGATCTCATAGGTATAATCGATTGAGACACTCGACCAACAAACGAATATTTATTTTACTCTTTTTTACAAAACGTATGATCCCAAAGAACACGCAAATACCTGAACGTTAAGTGAAGGAGAGCCATGCTTCGGCACGAATGGACCGGTTCGGCTGGAGTGATACCACAGCCTCATAGTAAACCGACATGAAACAACGCTTGCGTAGTGTTTCGTCATGTGAGCGAGGTTACCAGAGACCCATTTGTCCCCCTCCCCCTTTCCCGATCTCCCCAATCCCTGAATCCCCAACTATCTTCGAATTCCTAATACCCCAATGGGCAATAACGCACATGTAACGCCTCAGGTGTTCCGGGTAAACCAACACCTGGCTACAGTGGGCAACACCAATCGCTTACCACCAGGCTCCGACAGCTATTTAACCGGCTTCACTCATAAAAAAAAACAACGTAAAAATATAATGACGCGGCATTTACTTACGCAATCAAATACAACTGTCATAGATGTACATTTAATATGAATTATGTTTAAATCTGCTTTCAATACATGTGGCGTTAAGATGTGATTGGGCCGAGGTTACAGATTATGTAGTTATTGACGTCATACCACGATTATTTTGGCATCGCTGTGTAAAAATCTGTCGATTCAAAAACAATTTCTTCGATAGTTCCTGTATCGGAGTAATATAAATAAATATGTTGTGTAAGTCTTATTTACTTCTTATACGATTCGTATGACTTCCTCGAACCTAGGGATACTTAATTAGGTCCTAGGAATGTTAGGTTCGAACCTCAGGTTTAATAGAGTACATTTGTTGAATGTTTTTATTTCGTATCTTAAAAAATGATACAGATTGATAGGCCTTCTTTTATAAAATAATTTTACTGATAACAATCGTGAAACCACATGTATCCACTATAAACATCAATTGGTAGTAGTAAAAGCCCCTGCACATACCCCTTTGCGAAACAACAGACGTGATATCATTGTATATTAAGGAACCAAATCTAATAGGACACCACAAAGTACATAAATAAGTCCAGTACCTATGTACTTTATGGCCGGAGGGCAAGTATGCAGGCAGTATAGTATAGATATCTAGAATCTGGCCACACTTGACCAAGAGGCCGCGAGCGCCTAACGGTACCAAAGATCAGTTGCTATTGTTCTGACAGTAATTGTTGTCGATTGCCCACCGACTACAAAACACCAGTTTCAGATGACCCCTCTCCACCTTCTCTCACCTACAAATACCTTAGACCCTTCCTAAACCCAAGTGTCATCGTCACTGGTTACATAAATCATGTGCATATTATAGGTTTTTGTCGTGTCCCCTTCGATTTTATAATATTTCCTTAAATTATGACGTAGTAATTTTGTCTTTAGATTTTGGAATATATTACAAAATCAGAAAACCTACATACTACTTAGACATTAAGAAATATCTTG